AAGATGGCTCCTTGGATCGCACATGCATAACAAAGTGGTCTGCAGACCAATGTAACAAATCACAAGAAAGATCATTTAGAAAACACAGGGGCCTAACTACAAACTTACTTGGCTTGCTGGCTTGACTCACAAACTCCGTGTTTGATCACCTGGTGGGATCACCACCATCAACTACAGAAAATAATTCCCTGCCAAGAGTAAAGGTATATGTTGGCTCATGCATAAAGTTCACCTGTCTATTCAGCAGATGCCTCTCTTACGGTTATTTTCTTTAGAAAACAAACCCCTACTTGCCCGAGACCTTTATACACTCTAGGTCCAAAAAACATACTTAAAAAAGAAAAAGGACAATACTGCTAGCTTAACTAAAATGGCATTTACTATGACTGAATTCTACAAAAGGAGTATAACACCTACCAGGATAAAAAAGGAAAAGAAAAAGCCCTAAGCAAAAAAAATTTTTTTGAAAAACACAAATACCACCTGTGCAAATCTAGCTATGCTCTGGAAATCCTTTCTCAGCCACAGAGAAACAGCTCATGCTCAATGCCTTGAAGTTGCAATTAAATTGTAGTAATTTAAGATTATCGGGAGAGCAAAGGGCAGTGGGAGCTCTTTGGAGGGCTTCCTTTCCCACTTAATGCTCTTCAGTCAGGGGTTAAATGAGTTTCTTTAATGTAAGTACTTTAAAGTAACTGAATCATAAACAAAATTTATACTATTTTCTGACAGCCTGCAATCTATTTAAATTTTATTAACGTTTGCCTAAAATTATTTTTAAAAGACAGAACTCTTGCAATGCCCTGTAAATATTCTTGGCATACCTACTGAAATGTAATTGGTACTATAACACCTAAGGTTGTCTGAATACGCACACTTTTTGGAGATGCGGAATCTTACAAGATAACATTTCAAAAGTGCATTTGAATCTTAAGTAAAACATGAAAATCAAATAAACAGCACAATAAGATTGGCTGCAAAGAGGAAACCGGGTTCAAAAGAAGTCACATCTGCTCTATTCTCCCTTCTCTTACTTAATGTTGGCATTGGACATACTACGGTATAAATATATTTGTTTAGGAAATATCACAATTCTTCTGTTAATTTAAACAACTGCTGAAAACAGACATATCTTTCAATAGAGCCTAAGAATGTAAATATACAAGGCCAGGGATAGAGTCTTAAGAGAAGCAAGAAAAAACTTAGTAACAGAAAACCATGCCTAGGCTCAATCTTAATCCAGTTAACTTTTGTTATTGTTGGGACAAATGATTTAACTAGAAAATATTTATAGCTTTAAAAAAAAAAAACATTACATATTGCAGAAAATTGCCTAATAGCATCCATGTGTATGTTTAGCTCACATTGTTTAATTACACTATAAAAGGTATACCCAATAAAAGCTACAGACTTTGAAACATGTTGGGTACTATGGTTATGAAACTTGGAATTACAAGAAAACAAAGTGGTCACTATGTGATCAACATTTATTAATTAAAAATGAAATCCTTAAATAACAATTATTTTTATTCTTATGTATGTGTTTACTTATCCTATTTCCTACTTTGTTCCACTTAATTAAAAATGACATTTAATTTGGGAAGAGTTTACAGCAAAAAAAAAAAAGTGTTACATGGTTTATATTTCAGAATTTAAATATAAACACAAAATCTTAGACATCTCCAGGAACACAACCCCTTTAATTTGAGACAGTTAATCTGAATACCCGATGTTTCTTTCATTACACTTTGATAAACCTGTGAAAACAAAACGCTAAAGTAATTACTGTTACTATTCCCTTTAAAAATGTAAAGCAGTTAAATTTTCCTAGAAAACAAGCAAGGACAAGTTAGAGAGAACTTGAATAAAAGTAGCAACATGGTCATGTTGAATGTCAATCTAAAAAAAGAGGTTATGTCTAATCTGGAGAATGTTCCCTCTCGCCTTTTTAAATTCCAAGAGTGGGCTGACACAAAACTTCATCACCAGGGATTTTTTTTTTTTTTTTTTTCAGCTGCACATCAGATTTAAACCCTCACATACAAAACCCTGGCTTCCCTGACAAGGCAGATCTTCTAAACTTGATGTGAGAAAACGTTATCTAACTCTAGTGTAGGAGTCTAATGTTGGTAAAAAGAATTTCTCTGCACAGTTCTGGGTAGCAAGACAGCCTCTGGACGACTTGATATTCTTTTAATACCTTTTGAGTGCATTCTCTTTGTAAACAAGAATGCACTAAAAATAATAACTTGTTTAGCAACTCAGCATTTATAAGGAACTCAAATGCTGCCTAGAGAGAGGCTAAGTACTTCCTTCCAAGTGAGCCTTCGCTTACACAACAAAGATCAGCATTTGCAATGGTCCATTTCTGCATTACTGAATATATAGCTTTGCAGCTAGATCGAATAGTCCAGGGTTCTCCATGTAGAGCTCATGACAACAACCCAGCAGCAGTTCTGTTTGATCTCTCTTGCTTCCTTA